ACTAGCATATCACTAGGACATACCAACCAGAACTATTTGTAGCCTGAGGTGGTATGCTGTGTTCATTTGGTGTTAAAACTTCCCTGTCCTTAACATTGTCCAATACCCCAGCAAGATCTCTACCAACTACCTACAGACAACTGTTACTTTCTAGCACTCTTCCACTCTACCTTTGATTTCTGAATTTCCAAGCTGAATTCAGTTTCTTGCCCTCTTCCTGTATTAGCTCATGACTTCTTCTCAGCCCCTGTCTTAGAAAAGCATGTGTCACTATATTATGTACAAATACATCACAACCATCGCTCTGAAAAAAATGAGAGTCCTGTGAGAAAATATTCAACTGCCATTAACCCTCTTGGTATTTTTCAAATCTCCAGTCTCCTACTCTCTTGGCAGTTATTAAATTCTGTATCTTACATAATATTCTAGGACCTCCCCTTCCACCATGCAGTTCAAACTTCATTTTTCATATGACCTCTTTCAACCACTTCCTAACAGAAACACAATTAAACATATTTCCACCATTCCATATCAGTCATCTTCCTAAAAATCATAATATACTATATCATTTATTTGCTCTGTAAAAGTTAGTATCTTTCCCATATCTAAGAAATAAAGTCCAAGTCCTCCACACATAAAATAAAGATAATAAAATATACTTTTCAAATAGTCTTTTAAAGGAAGACTGTTCAAATCCCAATTCTATAGCTTACTAGCTATTTACAGACTACAGGTCACCTTATCTCTCTTAAGTTTTCAATATGCAAAGTGAGGCTACACAAAGAACCCACATCCTGGGTTATGAGGATTAAATAAGAAACTCCATGGTACCCAGGACCAGCACTCAATTAATGTTAACTATTACCCAGTAATGGGTCATCTATCTATAATGTCACATTCCCCAGATGAAGCAGAAGACCAAGGTTTTATTTTCATTTGGTTTAGAAAGATTTAACAATAAGAGTTAAATCAGAAATGACCTCTGGTTAATTCTGAATCAACAGAAGCATCAATTAGCCAAAACAGTGTTTCAGGAAGATTTTTGTAGTTTGTCTAAATCTATTATAGTTTATTTAAGAAACAAATACTTATTCAAAAACAGAAACTAGGTTAGTTTCTGTTTAATAAAGATAAAAAGCAAAAACAGCACCTTGCCAATGTTAATTCACTTAGATATTTCTAATAATATGAGTCTCTAAGGAATAAAATCCATATAAATTACATTCAATGCGCAACTGGGTAAGTAATTTGCTAAAGATATATACATGTAACAAAACAAAGTCTAAAAGATTAAGAAAAGTTTCTTAATGGTGGCGTGACATTCATTCTCAGACCACACAATCAAAAAATGAAATCACAGTATTTTTAAATCAGTGATTTTAATAATTATAAAAACTAAGTTTATTTGCCGTTGCAAAGGTAAAATGTACAAATAGTCAAAAGACCTGAACCATACTACTGGTGTGTTCTTTTCTACTACCTTCACGACCTTGAACAAATTACTCAAAATAAATTCATAAGGCCAAAGAAGGAACAAACCTTTACTAGCCATGCCCTTTTTAAAACAGACCAGAAACACTTCAAGAGAACATTTATGACGTTAGGTGCTAATGAAAACCGGTAAGAAGATTCCAGTAAATTTATGGGCAATCCATACAAAAGAAAACTAGAAAAATACAGCATTAGCTTTCTATTTTGGATAGAGATGTTAGACAGCAGACTCCTTTATGTCCATTCTTTAAGAACAAAAGCCTGCAAAAGATATAATTGGTCAACCAAACTACTGGAGGCAGTGCAAATCAATAAAACCTTTCATATATAAAACTGTCAATACTTTTCAAAAGTGACAAAAACTTTCATACTCTTGACTCTGTAATGTCTCTCAATGCTTAAAGGAAAGAAGCAAAAAGAAAACCACCTCTATATTAACTACATATCTTGCAAAATGGGAATAAATTTAGATGTAAGATCATTTAAAATAACAGCAATATTGTATAAATTAAATGAATAAAATCTACTGCAAAAATAAAACGTTAAAATATGAAAGCCAAATATTCAACATTATATTTATGCTTTAGTTATAATAATATCATGTATATATGGTGACTAATAAAAAAAATTTGGTTTTTTTAGCCACTAATTTATTAAATAAAAATCCTACTGAAATTTATCATGCCCATCATAGTAAGTACACTTTCAAAACTGACTTTTCAGAGGCACAAAATCATAATCATCAATTAAGCTCTCCAAAAAAAAAAATCACATAGGAATAATTAAGTATGCTCTTCTCATATACAGAAATCATATAAGTCCTTTTAGCCATGCTATTAGCCAGATGTGATCTAATTATATTAAAATCTCACTTTACCATCAAAACATAACTGTATGTGGGATCCCCATATGGTGAGCAGAAGTCACTTGTTAGGGGGCATCTGGAGAGAGGGCTCAAGCACTTAGGTTAAAAACTATCATATGAGTGGATGGTGAAGGTTAGGTTTCCCCCATATCCCCAAATGAAATATCATATTTCTCAGCTATTCAAGGGCTCTACACCCGTGGAGAAGCAGGTAAGCACTCAAGGAAGAAGAAAAGAACAAAACCAATTTACCCTCACTCAGATAATCTGCAACATCTTCCTTTTCACCAACACACAAGAAGAAATGAAAAAAATACAAGGACAAGATCATGAATTGTGGAATAAAGATGAAATTAAGTTGTCTGCCTTTTCGTGCTTCAGTGTTTAATAACTAAAAATTTTAAATATGAACCAAATAATTTAATTATCTCAAGTTAAATATTCTGTTAATTTATGGAACTTCTTTACTATACATTCCCAAGCCTCTTAAAACCCCTACTCAGTTTGTAAAACAATTATTAAAACTCAGAATTTGGGAACTGGGGGCAAAGGTAAAATGTACAAATAGTCAAAAAACCTGAACCATACTACTGGGGTGTCCTTTTCTACTACCTTCACGACCTTGAACAAATTAATCAAAATAAAGTCTTAAGGCCAAAGAAGGAACAAACCTTTACTAGCCATGCCCTTTTTAATCTTGCAACACAAAATGCATTGTTGCTCCCCTCTTCCCTCCATCACTGGGGTTTCATTTCTAACCACTAACAATTTTTACTTTATTCTTAGAAATCTGAAAGTAGCTTGTGCATTCATCTTTTCTAAATTTTCAGATACTGAGGTAGTTACTGCTCAAAAATTCATTCAGTAAGTAGTTTTTTGCACATCTGGGTCACAGCATAGTATGTGTTAGAGGTCCTTTCACTTAAGAAAACTAAAAGTATCGTGGGGACAAACATATAATTAACTAACAATTGATAAATACTAACTACAGAAGGTATGACAAACTACTGGATAAGTTGAGACAAGGAGGATAAAATGTCTGGACAAGATTCAGAGGAGCTATTTTACTAAGTCTTGAAGGGCAAGTTGTTTACGAGGCAGAGGATTCTCAACAAAGAACTGTATAAAACCACAAAGGAAGATATAGCCTTCAAAGAACTCTAAATAGTCTTTGCATAGGGAGGACAGGCATAATGGTAGAAGATGAAATCAGGAAGGTAGACAAGAAACAGACACTGTGAAAGGACTCTGATTTTTATCAAATACATATCATAAGAGTCATTGATGGACTTTTAAACATGGAATCAAAGTCTCCTTCCACCAAGCTGTCAAAGGACTGAACCAATGCCAACAAGCAAAATATCTATGTCTAAATATAGAAAGATAGAATAAAATGATTAGCTGATTTTTCATGAAAACTTCAGGATGACTTCTAAGTTTCTCATTACTGCATATTAAAACAATACTGAAGTACACTAGGAAGAATTATTGCGAAAGGATTCAAGAAAGTGTATTTTTTACCTAAAGATTACTTGAAATCAACGTTGGTGAGAACACTAAGAAAGAAAGGAAAATAGCTATATAAAGAGCTACAATAAGGGAGACAAACAGTGTAATGCTGAGAAGACCCGACTTCTGGCAAAACAGGAATGTTTAAATACTTATCATATGCTGGTTATAGATAACACAAGTTTTCTGCCTATCTTTTGCAAGAGAGGGGCTTAAATTTCTTTTGGTTAAAAAAAAGCCATCACAAAACTCTTCAGTCTATAAAATAAAACTTTACATTAAAAAAATTGCAAAAGTAATAGGTTCCATTAATATGAATGCTCAAGGCTGGGTAAAGAAGAGCAACGTCTTTTCCAATGTCTATTTTGGAAAGCCTAAAGCTCGACGCCTCTCACCCACAGGAGAAATAGACACGTTCCAATCTGGGACCACGAAGAGTCAATATACCAGTAAGTAATTTCCACGCTGCGAAGGCCTACTCTTGCAACAGCAATCCTAATTGGCTGGGTAACCTACAAAGATGAATTTGCAAATATTGAAATTCAAATTCAAGCTTAGACACCATCCACTGCCTCAAAGGAGTCATTCGTCCTTTTGACAAAAAAGTAGATGTATACATATCTATGCATAAAAATAGCAGACGTCTAAAAAGAAGAAAGCAGCATCTGAAGCAGCATCTGGCAAAGGTGTGGTCCACCAAAGTTTTATCTCAGGATGTGTTTAAGGGTGTGTCTTTGTTTTGGCCCAGGATGGAAAAAAAAAGCCCAAGTCATTAGAGGCACCCCGGTACTTTCCCCCATCAACCCCACAAGCACTCTGGCTCTGAAATCACTGGGTATCTCAGCCTCGCCCGCGTTTCTCCACAGAGGGAGGCCGTCCGTCCCGAGGACCCCCGCGCGTCTGTCACAGATCGCAGGAGAGGCGTCCGGCCTCCCCGACACAGCCCCGCCCCGCCTCTAGCGATTCACAGGGAGCGCGAGACTGTCGCCCCGGAGGACTGGAGGTCGCAGGAAGCCAGCGCCTAGTCCCGGGAGCTAGGGCCAGGGTCCCCGACCGCGCCCCCCAGCCCGAGCGGCCCTGGCGCGCGCCCCGCCCCGAGTCCGGCCCCGGCTACCACGCCGATCCCAGCACTCACCGTGCGGAGGTCGTGCTGCCTCCCCCGTCGCGGCCCGGCAGCGGGTAGCCCTGTGACCTACGGGCCCAAGGACGGCAGGTGAGGCAAGAGACCGCGCGTCACATCTCCGGCGGCTCCACCGCCCAAGCCGCAGCAGCCAGCATCGCGTCCGCGGCCTGAGGGAGCGCCGGACTCCAGAGCCGCGCCGCGCCCCCTCCCTCGGCCGGCGCCCGCCTGGACTCCGCCCTCCAGGGCCCGCGCACAGCGCGCGCGCAGCCCCACCTCCGGGACGACTTGCGCAGGCGCAAGCCCCACGGGGTTTGCCCCGCCTTCTCACCAGTCCCCGCCGCTTGACTCCTACCGCGATCCGCCTCTGGCCACGCCCCCGCTCTCTCCCCTCTCTTCCCCAAGCTCCGCCCTCACTTTGGGACCCACCCCCCTTCACTGACCTTGTCATTCTGCCCCCGGATTTACATTTTTGCTCCGCCCATCCCGTGACGCCAGAGGAACAGCTGACCCCACTTTCAGTCAGACCCCTGGACTGACATCGCCCTGCTGCTTGGTGATGGTCAGACCTATGAACTGCACGTTCTGACGGCGAAAAGTTACGAGTGGTATGAAGTTTAGGGCTGACATGGGCTCCCCTCCCACCTTTCGCGGTGGTGTGGACGCTTCCATCCTTTTGTGTTTGCAAGTGCATCCTGTTCATGTCCTCCAGTGCCCTGGACATGCCTGAACCACACTAGCTGCCTACCACAATGATTGCAGATGAGGGGGTCAGAAAGGGAACCCCCAGGTGCTGAGATACGAGCATCTCTACTGCGCCATCAATCTGGATCCCTTTTATCAGAAACAAGATCCTCCTCTTAAGGGCTACCATCAGGCCATCTCATCCTCTCTGTTCTTCCTCTAGCTCCACCTGTTTTGAGTGCCTTTATGCTGGAAGTCTACCTAATCTGGCTGACTGTTTAAATTCCTGAACTATGCTTGTCTGGTCATGCACTAGCCGCTCTCAGAAACCCTTGTGGGCTACACTCATCAACAGGTCATCGGCAACAAACAGCACTTAAGGGATTTTTCTTAAAAATATCAATCTCTTCCGGGCCCTCCCTGGTGCCTCAACGGGTTAAAGAGCAGCACTATGAAGCTCTCTGCAGCCACTGCTTCTTGAGTTATATCCCCGGCCAAGGAGATGACCCACATGGCAAGGCAGACCTCTCCTGATCCACCTGCTGCTCCCCTCAGCAGTGTACTTCAGTTGATCTGCCTGTTCTGCAACCCACTCTGTCTCTGGTAAAATTTCTCATCCCTGCACCTCTGACCTGTACCCCAGTTCTTGTGTGCATAAATAAATAAATCTTTAAAAATTAACTTCTTCCATGTCTCCAGATCAGTGATACTCTAAGGATAAAGCAGATGGAAATTACCAGACCGAAATGAGGGATCTGATTTTTAAAACCTCATCTCATTTACTAATATATCTATATACTTGAAAATAAAGTGTCATTTTTAATACCAACCCCATAAATAAAGATTGATGCTCCTAGATGAAAAGACTCAAGTTCAGAATGTTGAGCAAGAAGACATTCTAAACACTCCACAATTTATCTTTTGATTAAGTCAGAATATTATAAAGGCAAATGCCATACTAAATTATTGAACATACACTTCAAAAACAACTCTCCAGAGATTAATTGCTAACAAGTGCTTTAGGGTTTTTGTTATCAGCTAAATAGAGAGATGGTATGAAAAATCACTTCTTACACTGTATCCTTGGGAATTGGGGGAGATGCTACATACTTACCAACCGCCATAGGGAGATTTAGGAAAAGAACTTCTCTCAGTTCCCAAAACCAGGAAAACCTATGCTCCAAATTGCTGGGTTGTTATCTTGTGACTCCCTAAACATTTATGATAATCATATTTTTTTCCTTTGGCAGCGGTGAAGTATGCAGTCACCCTCTCCTTCCTCCTATACACCTATCTTTCCCTTGCTGTGTGTGAATGCCTCTGCTTCATCTAATTCCCCAATTTCCTCATGCCCTTATTTATGACCACATTAAATATATAAACTATGTCAAATTATTTAGGAAAAGTTTTAAATATATACATATAAATTTCTAGGGAGATACACACACACTTAGAAAGATACTCATACATATACATACATATTCAGACTTCTGAGGGTTTCAAGCCTGCTTATGACTAAGGTTAAAAATGAGAGGTTGGGCCCTCCCTGGTGGCGCAGAGGGTTAAAGCACTGCATTGAGAAGTTAAAGCCCCAGAGGTGATCCACATGGAGAGGCAGACCTCTCCTGACCTGCCCACTGCTCCCCTCAGCAGTGTACTTATTCGATCTGCCTGTTCTGCTCCCCACTCTGTCCCTGGTGAAGCCTCTCACCACCCCTGAACTTCTGGCCTGTACCCCAGTTCTGTATGCACAAATAAATAAATCTTAAAAAAAAAAAATGAGAGGTCTTACGAAGCTGGGCAATGGTTTACAAATTTACAATTGTAGCCGAATCACCTGGATAATCCTAGTAAAACACTAATTACAGGGCACCATCCCAAGTCTCAGTTTAGCATAACTGAGGTGGTACCTAAAAATTCTAGTATTTTTCCAGAGGCAGACAATCCTGGGAAGAGCTCACCTTAACAATCAAAAAGAGGCCCTAAAATACCTCTCTTTAATTAATCTATACTGCGGTTGGATGATTATCCAATCAGGGCTCCCAGGAGCCCTGAAGGACTGATAAAAGACGAAAGTTGTTCTTTTCTTTTTTTTTTAAGTATCACCAAACTTTCATATAGAAAATTATTACAACTTTCTCCATAGGTTAGACTTGGAAAATAATAACTGAGAAAGCAACCCCAGACCCATGATAGGTCAAGGTGTAGGCAGAGGTAAAGAGTCAGAGGCACAGAGGCAGATGGTATAAAGTTTATGTGGGAATGTTCATGATTTAATAAACCCTCTATGTGTATGTGTGTGTGTGTGTGTGTGTGTGTTTTGGGGCTTTCTTTTTTTGGATGAAAAAAACAGACAACAAGTGAAATGATTTGCAAAATCAAAGCCTGGACTTGTCTTACACGAATATTATAGCTCCAAATGTCTGGAGGAACAGACATCTGTTCCCGGCTACCTCTGATAAGAAGCAGTGAACATATGTATACATTTTTAATATGCATTTTTGTTAGATTAAACAAGTATCTACATTGTAGACATTGTAGTCAAAAGCAAACAAAAGTTTTTTTCACCTATGCTCACAAACATTTAATATATAACAGCATTTCAGTGTACTTTCTAATTACATAGACGTCCTTAACATATTTTATTAGGAGTAATGTTCCTGTGGACTTTCTGTATTTAGTGCCTAAATGATATTTATTATCCTTGAAAAACTGCTCAACATTATTAATTATCAGGGAAATGCAAATTGAAACCACAATGAGATATATTACCTTATGTTTGTTTGAACAGTTATGGTCAAAAGATAAGGAATAGTAAGTGTTGGCAAGGATATAGAGAAAGGGAAACTGGGTGCAGTTGGCAGAAATGTAAACTGTACAGCCACTATGGAAACCAGTATAAAGGATCCTTAAGAAATTAAAAAGAGTGCCCTCCCTGGTGGTAAAAAGGTTTAGAGTGCAGCACAATGAAGCTATCCCCAGCCACTATAATAAAAGCTCTATCCTTAGCCAGGGAGGTGACCCACATGGTGTGCAGACCTCTCCTATCCCACTGGCTGCTCCCCTCAGCAATATCTTTCAGTCAATCTGCTTGTTCTGTTCCCCTTCTCGGTGAATCCTCTCACCTCCAAAACCTCTGGCCTATGCCCCAGTTCTTGCATACATAAAAAAATAAAATACTTAAAAAGAGAGAGAATAATAATATTATCCACTATCCTAGTATTGCGTGTATTTTTTTAAAAAAATGAGATCACTATCTTGAAGAGATTTATAGACCCCAATATTAATTGCAGCATTATTAACAATAGCCAAGACATAAAAACAGCCTAAGTGACCACTGATAGATTAAATGTTAAGGAATATCTGAGATAGGTAAATGATAGATAGATAAACAGACAGACAGAAAGACAAAGGTATAGATTGTTGAGCAATGAAAAAGAAGAAAAGCCTACTATTTACAACAGCATAAACGAACTTACAGGTATTAAAATAAGTATACAGAAAGAGAAAAGCAAATACCTCATCATCTCACTTATATGTGGAATTAAAAAAAAGATGAACTCACAGAGACAGAAAACAGAATGGTGGTTGTCAGGGCTGAGGGGTGAGGGAAATGGGGACATGTTGGCCAAAGACGTAAAACTTAAAGTTATGTGAAATAAATTCTAGAGATCTAATGCATGATAGCTATAGTTAATGATAACTATCATCAACCATTATGTTGTACATACTTGAAAGTTGCTACCAGAATAGGATTATATATTTCTCACCAGAGCAGCAACAATAACAAAAATGGACTATGTAAAGAGAAGGATTTGTCAACTAACCAACTCATTTCATGTATATGTATATTAAAATAATACTGTTTACAGTTTAAATTTGTGTAACATTTTATACCAGTTATAGCACAATAATACTGGAATAACATTCTGGAGGTCAGAATTCTGAAGTGTATTTCTTCGGACTAAATTCCATTGTCTGGTGCAAAGAATGAACTCAATTTTCTTTCTTTTCATATTACTGTCCAGTTATCACAGCACCACTTATTAAATGTTCAACCTTTTTAACTATGACCTCCATACAAACTGAATGAAAAAATATATAATACCAAATCTTGTTGTAGAAAAAAACTGGAGCTGATCATCACTCTGGAAATGGACAAATATTTATTAGGCAGAATCCAGAAAGTACTAATCTTACAAGAATAAACTGGTAAATCACACTTGAACAAAATTCAATCTCTGTTCTTCAAGAATGAAGTAAGTGAAGAACTGAATAGGCAAGCCATAGAATTAGAAACAGTAGTCACAAGAATATTATGAATCTGAAAGATAACTTGAATTAGTAGTTAGAGAACTAATTCAAATCAGTAACAAATCCTTTTAAAATGGACAACAGTTTTGATTAGGCTCCATTATTAAGGAGTGAACATTCATATGAATGAGCACATGTTTTTAGTCACCAGGAAAATGCAAGTTAAAATCCAATATCTGTCACGTAGTTAAAATGTAGAAGGTAGACAACAACAAATGCTGGAAAAGAGCCACTGG